ACCTCTAATCTTCCATATGCACCTAAATGGTTGTTCATATGTATAATTGCTTCCGACCACAACTTACTCGCCACCACCTCCTCCTGCACACATTTTCGGTTAACGAATCGGGCCTAGAGTTTGGGCTGGCTAACTCCCAGGTAGTCCCGAGGTCCAGGACCAGCAATGTGCCCAAGGTTCCCACTACTCCCTTCAGGAATCACTGGGATCCCAGTGTTATGGCCCACTGGATAGTGGATGCCATCACCCTGGCTTATCAGGCACAGGTTGTGCCCTGCCCGCTCAGGTTGCGAGCTCACTCTACTAGAAGTGTTGCATCCTCCTGGGCGCTGGCTTGTGGTGCATCGCTGACAGATATTTGTAAAGCTGTGAGCTGGGCGACCCCCAACACATTCACTAGATTCTATAGCCTTCGTGTATAGCTGGTATCCTCCTGTGTTCTCACCTCAAATGGGTAGAAGCACTGAGAGGAGGCCCCTGTTTAGTGTCGGCTTGCTAAAACAGCTCCAGAGAGTCCATACTGTAGACCCTGTCAAGCTTCTCCATCCCTTCGGCAGCCAGATGTGGCGGAATGTCCGGCACCAGGCCCTCACTTGATGAATCTGTGAGAACCGGTAGAGGGCTGGGTTCCATATGTAAAGACCTAAGGGGATCCCATTTGTGTAAAGTCCACGGTATAGCCTCAGGGCCTGTGTTTCCCCGGCAGACTTTGTGCCATTTTCCAAGAGGGTTACAATCACCTCTAATCTTCCATATGCACCTAAATGGTTGTTCATATGTATAATTGCTTCCGAAACTTCCTTCGGGAAGAATGGGGCTTTCGCAACGTTCCAGTTCCAATCTCACTGAGTGAGATTAAAATATCACTTCTTAATATTTAGTATAAAATGTGTTTTAATGTCACTATTGTTGAGGAATGCATGATCTTTGAATAATATCGGCCTTAATGAAAGATATTTGAAGTGTACCTGTTGTATACTTGCAATATCTCAACTTTAGCACAATCAAATATACTTCAGGAGGCTATATCTTTAGTTGGACCTCAGCTAGGGCTGGGCAATTTTCCAGATTTTATAGATTAATTTGAATTTAATGTTTTGCCACGATTTTGTTTTTTAGAAATCGAGGAATCGCTATTACCAAATGTTAGAATTAGACACTTTGACAATATGCCGGTGATAACAATAAAGAGAAAAGAACTATCCAACCGCATGTCGGCGCACTTGATTAACCACTCACGTGTGACGCGCTCTGTGAAGGACCATATATATAGCGCTAAGCACCATTCCACAGAATGTGCTTTTGTGTTGACAAAGATGTGACGCAGGCAGTGGAGTAGGGCTGTCAAAAAAATTAGAATTTCAAATATTTGTCAAATAAAAAATAAAAAAATCCACTTTCGAATGCAAAAACGTTGCATTTGAATTTTAGGTCTGTGTCAGCCATCAGGCAGCCTATCAGTGGCGCACGAAATGCAATGACGATGTAAGTGTCATTGCATTTTAATGCTTTTGTTAGCCTATCCAGTTGAACCCCCTAGATGCGACGCTGCTACGTTGTTCATTCAATATATTGCGGAAAACGAGAGCATCAGTGTGGAGATGATGTCGTTTACGTCAAAACTGAAACCAAGCCGTTCACACAGAACACATATTCATCACATTTTCTAGAGGGACATCTATCAGCGTTGCACTCGCGTCTGGCACAAGAGAGCGGCATGTTTAGAAAGCCATGTAAAATTAATGTAAGTTCAACTTTTAAAAAACATGTCTCAAGACTTTATGGTGGTTTTTCCCCATCCCACTGTATCTCATGTTTTTAAATGAAGAAAGTAGCCTACTCTTTGTGATTGGTTTTTGGTCCTTTGTATTAAACTATACATGCATGCATGGTGCTGTTTTTCTTCTAATTTTTTAAGCAACATTATTAATTATATATGGTTTATAAACATTATGCACTTTTTTTT